ACGTAGAAAGCGTATTTGTCGTCGTCGTCGTCGACTCGACAGCGACATGCAGGAAGAACCCGAACCTCTGGAGGTCTGCTGTGCCATCTGTGTGCTTGTGTTACTGTTGTAATAATCATATTACATCCGAGCAAGAACCGAGAACTGCTAGGGTGGCAAAGGCTGGCATCCCACCCATGCCTCGTTCACGGCCCATACACGGACCGTGTACACCTCGGTCACAGGAGAACGTCCAAATTCAAAGGAATCGGCTTGGATAAGTTTGCGCGGAATCTCGTGCCGGCCCCCAGCTGTCCGAGGTTCTACAAATAGCCCAGCAGTAAATCAACGGACGAAAGTCGAAATCCACAAACGATCTGACGATCTCAAAGCAGCTAAGAATCCGTGTTTCCGCGCAAGTTTTTAAGCGTGACAGAAGGCTCCGGTGATGCCGGAGAGCTTGCGGTCCTGAAAGAACTCTGTGGTTCTGAATTAATGGTGCCATGACATGTCATGACAAACACATCTCTTGGGTCGCCTGGGTTCGTCGGGCAAGTACCCCACGCCGGGTGCTCCCATCGAAATGCGCCCACCGAACTGAGGTTCTCGCGCCTGCCACACAAAACGTACGGCGGTGTTGCTGTGACAGTGGCCCTGCGCAGCACCTCGATCCGGTATCCGCCTGCAGCAGAACACAGCAGGCATGGGTAGTTCTCCAAATAAGGGTCCCTTTCTGGCTCAAAATAAAGCACGGCACCCTTATAAAAAGGACCCGAAAAGGGAGCCTAATTTAGAGAGAACTACCAACATGTCTACGCTGTCGAGTGGCGCAGCGGCAGGTCGCCGTCGCTTGAAGGCGGCTCCCAGGCCAACCGCAACTCGTCGGCCCTGAGGAGTGACAGAAACGGGGGGCCGGGGGGGGCTCAATTCGTTACAGTCACAAGCCGCTTTGGGGCATCAACAAAAAAACAACATGCATCAAGCAGATCAAATCCAGGGATGAAAAAAAAGGCCCAGGCACACTACCCATGGATCTCGCCCGCATGGTGCAGCGTGCGGCATGTGCAGAACACTAAACAACAAACCTTTTGACCTTACAGCTCTTGGCCTTAAAGCCTTTACAGTCCTAAAGCCCCAAGCCTAAAGCACTGAAGCCGTGACACCTCTTCCTCTAAACCTTAGACCTATGTCCTCAACACACTGTTTCTCGAAACAAAATAGGTTTCAGTACCCTTTTACACCCGAAACATCTGCCTCTCAAACGTGCGAAAACACTAGATCCTTGAGGGGCGGGGGCGTAGCTATTGTATGTGTATATATATATAATTACAAAGAAAATAACACAGTACAGGGATGTTTTGTATATGTATGAATGTGTGTGCGTGTGTTTACACATATGTATGTATGTATATATATATATATGTATATATACTATGAATATATATATATATATATACACATATGTATATATATATATACATAAAGAGAAAAGAGAGAGAGAGAGAGAGAGAGAGAGAGCGTGCGTGTACATGTAGACTACAGATACTGGTAATATGTGTTAATTATATTATAAATATACAAATATACATAAATACATAAATAAATACCCATCCATCCATACATACATACATATGCTCTATTCTATCTATCTGTTTCCTGCTTTCTGGTGCAGTGTTTGATTTTCTTGCCGTACAATATTTCGTGGCTCGTGTTTGCTATTTGTGTCTGTCTTTCGTTATTTCTTCGTTTGTTCTCTTTATTTCGTTATTTTGTCTTTGAGTGTTTTTCCTTTCTTTCGTTCAATACTGCTATCTCCGTTATTGATTTCTTTTCTGTCCTTCTTTGCCTCTTTCGTTCTGTCTGAATTACTTTCCTTCTTCCTTTCTTCTCATCCTTGTTTCCTACCTGAAGGTTTCCCACCCAAATTGTGTCTTTCCAAGCTTTAAACGGCCTTGCTGATACATTTTCAATTTTTGTTGATGCATGTTTAGCATCTCCCTCACAAGCCAGTCCAAACCCTCGTTCGCAGACATGGCCTTGCGGCATTCACGACATGAAGGCTGCGCACCGGAGCTGGTGTGGTGCTGAGGGAGAACCTGTCACAGTAGCAGACTACATGGCAGCAACATGACAGCATCTAGCATCGACTGCCCTGTCGCCTGCACGTGATGAAACCAACCTCACCGGAGTCCTTGACGATGGACCACGTGCAGGGCCTTAAGGATTTGCAATGGAAAAGAGCTTGCCAAGTTCAGAGCGGTTCGTCGTCTGCTACCGGGTAGCCTCTTGTTGAAGCGCGGCTCCAGAGGAATGAAGCCTTGAAGCAGATCAAAGATGCAAATCAGTGCATGTAGAGAATGCGGCACATACTCAGAGCTGGAGAGCATTGGCCGACGTGGCGTCTCGTGGGCGTGCTGTCCTGCAAGAACGGATCTACTTTTTACTCCCTGTCACTGTGACGAACCGTGCCACCAAAGAGGAGCAAAGGCCAAGGGCCAGCTTCGGTCCAGGAGCCCCAAGCGCTCCTGGCATCGTCCGGGGGTCCAATTTTTGGGGACTCTGTGCACTCTAACAAGCTGTCCTCCCACACATCCACCGAGATGTAGTCCACGGGCCTCAAGGCAAAATAGCAAAAAACAAAAACCTGGAAGTGGAAAAAACGCCTCAAAATGCTTCAAAGATTCTCGAGACAACGTCTTGCGTCTCAGTGGCTCGGGTAGCCGCAATGCTGTCCGCTCCTCGATGCGGACTGCCGTCACCGAGCCTGTGGAGAGGGAGATGCAGAGAAGAGGTGAAGAGGGAGAAGAGGGGCGGAGTGCACTCCGCTCCTGGCAGCAGGCTTCGCAGCTCCTCTTCAGAGATGCCATGACCTCCGCTGGCAAAAGAGACGCGGCTGTTCCCAGGCCGTGCCGGTGGCCTACGGGTGGAGCTGGAACCCGCGGCCGCAGGCGTTTCGCCACCTCCCCAGCCTCGCTAGAAGAAAGGGCGCTCCCTCGTAGCGCTCTCTTGTCGCTCTGGCCTGAAGGATGAACTCATACTCTGGAGCTCGTTCCAACCATCCGGGCCTTGAGTGGAAGGCTGTAGCATGCTGTCGCTGTGCTCTGCGAAACACCGCGCTGTCTGGGCTTTTTGCGGAGACAAGCCCGAAAGGCCCAGGAACACCAGGCCGAGCTGATAGCCTCGGAGCTTCAATATTTTATATCTATACATACCTCCATCTCCATATGCATGCATGGAGTAAGGTATATATAGATAAATGCATGGATGGATAGATAGATGGACAGTTAGTAGGATTGTTAGGATTGGACAGGATAGGACGGGATGGGATGGGATACTTTACGACAGGCTACGTTAGGTTAGACAAAAATATATGCTCAAGCTCGATAGATAGACAGATAGATAGCCGCGTCTTGCATGACTATTCTGCTGCGATTTATGAACTCGCTACAGATCGGCTGTGACTACCACAATAGGTCCAGGTCCTGCCAGCAGCGTTACTCCCGAATAGCTCCTTGTTTCACTTTCCGATGCATGCCCTCAGATCTCATGCATGCACCCTACACACACCCCAAACCCTAAACCCTAAACCCATCACGTAGCACAGCGCCGGCTGTTCGACCTCTCAGCAGAAGCGGCCAAGCAACGCACCGAGGACAGCTCCTCCGACCTGGATATCACACAGCAGCACCCCCCCTCCCCCCCGGCCGCCTATTTCATCGGGATGGTTCCTGCCTTGCGCTCATGGCGGCAGGAAGGTCCCTGTCCAAGTCTTTGGAGTTTAGTGCAGCTGACCCAAATGCATCGCACCTCCTGCCATTACTCACCGCCATTCCTGCATTGCGACTGCAAGACTGACCGCGTGCTCGTACATGGCATCACTAGACATAAGTGGGCTGAAGAAGAGAATAAGAGCTACGCCTGCGAAAAACGGCATGCCAGAATCGACACAATCTCATCAGTTCAACGATATTGACATATTGTATGCAGAAGGAACACGGCAACGTGAACATCGCCCTAGATACTATAGTTGCTGATTGCGGCATTAGATTATGAACACATCCTGGCTGTGATGAAAAATTGTAAGATGAAGATGGTGTCATGTATGTGTGGTCACCACAACTCCCCGTGCACCTGCTCAACTCCGACTCAACCCGCCCGCAACCCCTCTGGCACCAGGCGACAGCATGGGGCAACATCATTCCCAAGCAGCCAGCAGCAGGGCAGCAAGAGCAAGCAGCCGCACAGCAGAAACCCTCGAGAGGCGTGTCCTGTGCCATGTCCGATGCCTCGCCATGCCAGGCCATGGAAACAGGCGGCTGCTCTGGCTTTTTCGGTGCCCGGGCTGCCGAGGAGGTGCTACCGAAGATACGGTAAACAAAGGCTTATTTGTAATCTATAAAATTGCTGGAATGGCTGACCAAGGACCTTTACAAGTGACATATAACATAGTACTAGCTCATACTCTCTCTATCTCTCATATTATCCACGCCTCAATAATGAGCATACCTGCTTCCTTCGTCCTGACGGTGGGCGCAGCTCCTGGAACTGGGTTGCGTGGATGCCAAGTATCACATGACGAAAGCCTTCAAGCACCGAGAGCGCCTACGCACTGTACGGCCCTCGGCCTAAACCTTGAATCCCATCACATGCTGCGGACTGCGGAGGCCCGTGCGAGTCTTGGGCTGTCTCTCCTTGCAGCGGTGTGTCGTCGAGTACGAGGTTTTCAGATCATGCTTGGCTTTTTCGGCTGCGCTTCCCCGCTTCGGCTCGGATCTCCGAGCAGAGCAGATGTAGCGTCGCTGCATTAACGGAGGTGTGCGTAACGGCTTTGCCGTCAGCCCAGGCCTCATCTCTGCAGGATGAAGAGATGTAAGAGATGTCTCTCCCTTGTGTGACGTTGGTTCTTCCGTTTGTGTTTGCATCCTGCAAAGGCTCAATCCTTTCACGAATCCATGAAAAGACTGACAGTCGGTCGTTTACGAGATTGTATGTGCATGATCGCGGCTACGCCACTGAAGTTCTCACGGCAGCTGCTGGATGCTGAAGCCTCTGAGCTCGGCATACGCATCCTGCAAGCTTCAACTCCATGTGTAAACATGCAGACATGTCCAACAACTGACTATAACAAGACGGTGCAGGCAAATCCATGCTCTATCAGACCCCTTGAATCGGATACTGCGTCCTCCACTTGCTCGTTGTACCACTTCAGGGTCAGGTCCCATGCGTCCGGATTTGCTTCGTAGATCGCAAGCTCCTTCAAGGAGTTGCCTAGCCTCTTCTGGATCCTCTCTTCGGTTTCAGTGCCTCTGCCGCGCAGTCGCTGCTCTAGAACTTCGGCAGTCGGCGGGGCAAAGAAAACGAAGGAAGTTGTGCTGGCCAGCTTAGACCGACGGACAGATTCGGCACCCTGCACGTCGATATCCAGCAGGCATACCTTGCCTTGGCGTGTCACGGCCTGCACGGCTTCAATGGAAGTTCCGTAGAGGTTGCCATGCACTTCTGCGTGCTCCACGAAAAGGCCTGCATCTATATCCTGCTGCATCTGATCTCGGGTCACGAAGTGGTAGTCCACGCCGGCTTGTTCCCCCGGTCGGGGCTCTCGCGTCGTGTGCGACACCGAGAATCCGAACTGTCCCGGGAACTCTGCCATCAGCTTCTTTATCAGCGTCGACTTGCCAACACCGCTGGGACCTGTGA